GAACACTTCTTCTGCCTCATTGCCCCACACATTGATGTCATCAATGTATTGTAGATGTTCAGGGGCATCACCCTTTTCCAGTGCAGTTTGAACTAGTCCATGACAAATAGTGGGGCTGTGCTTCCACCTCTGGGGCAGTCGATTCCAGGTATACTGGACACCCCTCCATGTGAAAGCAAACTGTGGCCTGCACTCTTCTGCCAAAGGAATTGAAAAGAATGCATTGACAGTGTCGATTGTGGCATACTACTTGTCTGCCTTTGACTCCAGTTCATACTGGAGCTCTAACATAACTGGTACAACAGCACTCAGAGTGGTGGCGTCACTTCATTCCGGCCATAATAGTCTACTGTTAACCTCCACCCTCCATCAGACTTTCGCGCCAGATATATTGGGCTATTAAAAGGCGAATGTGTCTTACTTATGACACCTTAGTTCTCCAGTTGACGAATCAATTCTTGGATGGGAGCCAGAGAGTCTCGGTTTGTACGATACTGCCGTCGGTGCACGGTCCTCATAGCAATTGGCAACTGTTGTTCTTCAACTTGCAACAGTCCCACAACAAAAGGATCTCCTGAGAGGCCAGGCAGATTAGACAACTGTTTTACCTTTTCTGTATTCACACTGGCCACACCAAAAGCCCATCGGTATCCTTTTGGGTCTTTGAAGTATCCCCTCTTGAGATAGTCAATGCCCAAGATGCAAGGGGCTTCTGGGCCAGTTACAATGGGATGTTTTTCCCACTTGTCCCTGGTCAAGCTAACCTCGGCCTCCAATACTGATAGTTCTTGACAGCCCCAACTGTCACTCCTGAGATCCAGATAGGTTCTGCCCTTCTATGACTTGATGGCATTAGTGTACACTGTGCCCCGGTGTCGATTCAAGCCTGGTACTTCTGTGGATTTCATGTGCCAGGCCATCAAATCCACACTGTCCTATACACCCGATCATCCCTTTCCTCCTCCTGGCTGGAGGCAGGGGCCCTCTATTCCCGTTCTTGGTCAGAGTATTCACTGTCTGAACCTTGCCATGCCAGGCCGGAGGTTCCTTCTTCAGGGTCAAGTGAGGTGATCTCAGTCTTCCTGTGTCTGGGAGATCGCTGGTTACTCTCTTGTGGTTTTACACCAACTACATTAACAACCTTCTTGGAAGTCTTCTTCTTGGCAGGGGTCTTTCCTCACAATTCATGTACACGTGCTTCCAACTTAAAGGTGGGTTGACCATCCCACTTCCTCATGTCCTCCCCCTGGTCGTGCAGGAAGAACCAGAGTTCGCCACGTGTCATGCGCCTTGGCTTCCCTTTCCCCCTGACTGGGACAGAAGAGAAATGATTTCTTGGGGAGCTCCTAACATCCAGGTCACTCGCCCGTAGAGATGAGGAGGTACCAAGACTCTCTTCAAAGTTCTGAATCCAGGAAGAGACTGCCTCCACAGTTGGCGTACATCTTAGTCCTTCTGAATCCATTTCTGGGTAGTACATCATGGCCAACCCGGCAGAATACTAGGATGGCACACCTTTAATCACCTTCCTCCACATGGCCAGTGTGCATGGGACATCCTCTGGATTTTTAGGGGCTTCATCATTATCTGGATCACCATAGATGACTTCCATCACTGCTAATTCTCTCAGGTACTGGACACCTTCATCTGCAGTAGTCCACTTCCCTGGGAAGTTGTCCATAAGATCTACCTTGAAAGGATACCTTGCTTTAACACTTGAAAGGAGCCGTCTCCACAGACTGCAAATTGCTGTCTCTTTTCCAATTCCCCTTTCAATTCCTCTACTTCTAGCAAGGGAACCCAGCTGTTGGGCTTCCTTACCTTCCAGTTGTTGAGCATCCGCCCCATTATCCCAGCATCGCAGCAGCCAGGCAGCGATCCGCTCACCCGGCTGGCAGCAATAGTCTTTCCGCAGATCTCGCAGTTCCGATGACGTCAGGGACCGGGTAGTTTCTGCCTCCTGTTTCAGTTCTGTTATTCCCTCTTCCGACACCTTTGCTGAAGGACCAGCTTCTTCCTCTTCTTTCTCCTCCCTTATTAATGGAGGGTATGGGCCTGTTGTTCTCCTTGTCCATTGTTTTTTACTACTGGGGCAATCTCTGTTGTTGTTGTTATTGTTTGAGTTCCCATGTCAACCACAGTCCTTTGAGAGTACTGAATGCAGCTCGGTAAGCACAGGCCAGGCCTCAGGACAGTGCTAAAGTTGCTGATTCTCATTGGGATAGGCAAGGCACCCCTCTATCAGGTGGTGTGTCAATTTTGTGGGGTTGCTTGCCTGTTCAGGGGTGATATCCCAGGCTACAGGAGATGATAACTGTCCTAGGAATCTGCCCAATTCCTTCCACTCTCCCTGCCACCCAGGAACAGGCCGCCTCAGAGCACATTTTGACACCGATTCTCTCAATATTTGCCTTCTCTTACACCAAAAACATACCAAGCTCCACACAACCCACAACAGGCAAACAGCATTAATAAAGAGTATCAATGAGGTAACATAAGGATGAATAAGTACCTCAGGAGCCTGCAAAATGAAACCACTCATGATGTTCCAGATTCCTTGCAGCATGTTCCCGAGCTTAACAAAAATAAAGATAAGCAGCGCAATAAACAAGCCCGTGACCAGCACAAGAGCTTGCTGCTTAATAACTACTATAGCTACAGCACGTTTAATATAAAACTGCCGTTGTTTTGCCCCACGTTGGGCGCCAGAATAGACTGTGAGGATTTGACTTTGTCTAAATGCCAGATATCCACCAAGTCGCTCTATCACTTCCCCCCCCACACACACTTTTCCCCTTGTTTTCTCTACAGGGCAAAGAGGGGAAAGAATATAAACTAACTCTTGCGGGTGAAACAAAAGCAGTTTTAATATAAGCAAAGTGAAGCAAACAGAAGCAAAACAGAAGCAAACAAAGTGCGCGGAAGCAAAAGCAAACAGATTTAGTCTCTACTTCCCATGGACAGGCGATGTCGGGCCTTCTCAGGAAGCAGAGCTCCAATATGTGTAGTGGTTGCCTCGGAGGACCAAGGGTGACTCCACCCCCTTCCTCCTTTCTCCCAGCTTTATCCTGAGGAGACGTCATATGGTCTGGAATATCCCTTTGGTCAGTTCTGGTCAGCTGTCCTGGTTGTGTCCCCTCCCAAGATCTTGCCCAGCCCATCCCACTGCGGGAAATGTTGGAAAGATCCTTGGTGCTGTGTAAGCACTGCTCAGCAGCAGCCGTAACCCCAGAGTGTTACCAACACCCTGCCATCTCCCAGCATAAACCACAGCACCGTGAGGACTGCTACAGGGGAAAACCAATTCCAGTTCAGCCAGACCCAGTACATCCCTCCACCCCGTCCTTGCTGCTACTGCTCAGACTACATCTCTTCCAAGTGAAATGGAAGGAGGGTGGTGCTTATCAGAACATCTGGGTTACAAAAATGACCTCAAGATTTTGTATAGTGTTTCCCTTTTCACCTTTCATTTCATTAGAAGATTTACCTCCAGCTGAACCTTCTCAAATTCTTTGGGTGCTCTGTATTAAGGTTTGTGATCTGCCTTGTTCCAAAGCACAGATGCCCTGGCACTTTGTGAATAAGGATACATTTCACCTGTCTAGATGGTACCCCAGTGACCAGTGTTTAGGATTACAGCAAAACACACAAACTTTGGGTGAGATGAAAGTACAGCATGATGATGTCAAACACATTGTATACTAGGGAAACATCCCTGGTTTCGTCTAACTGCAAAGAAATTGCTTTCTATTCACCGATAGTTAGGCTATACATACCTACATAAAAATTCTGCACATTAGAAATATCTGAATTGATTTCTGGAAGGAGGAAATTATAATATTCCTATCATGTAGGATTATTGGGGTTTTGTTTCTTTTATCAGAATTGGTGATATTTGTCTTGCCATTACATTTTTTATTTTAGAAATACTGTTCAACTATCTCTTTATACTGCCAGAGCACCCCAGACCAACTTCTTCCAAATAGCATTTAAATTGTCTGTTTGTGAGGAATTAATCCTTGTAGCTAATGCTTTGCAACTTTTTCAGATTTTGGACTGTTCATACCTTTAATAAGTATACGTTTGTTTTTACATAAAACAAAAAGTTAAACATCTTTTTGCATTTTTAATTTTCATCTTTAAATATGTCTCGCTTGCGTGAGGAGTTTTAGGATTTAAGACAAACACAAGAAGTATCTGACTTTTTACTAGTGGTTCACTTGCTAATCCTGTGCTGTTGATTTAGTGTGAAAATCAGATTTGTGTTACTCAGAAACTATCCAGTACTTAAAAAGTGTGTCACAGCATAAACAGTGACAGATATTGTAACTTTATTCATCTCTGTCATCAGATTTAGACATCTATTTCCTATTCATGCCCATAATACTTGGATTAGGATACAAACACTATTCAGAACTAATGCATATGTTGGCTGTAAGAGATGCCATAGGCAAAATTAACAGAATTACTGTTTTATTTGCTTTTTCTTGCTGTTTTTCTTCCTTTCCTGTATTTTTTTTCTTAGTATTTAAAGCTTTTTTGAAAAAAAAGTCATGAGTCACCCACTTTAGATAGTGTGATTCATAGGCTTTGTTACACATTTTTTAGTAAAACACTGATAGGCTAATATTTAAATTTGCCTGCTGATTTTGTATAGTATTGTATATTTCTATAATCTTTTGATGTAGAAAGTATTCGCACAATGCTAAAACTTCTAGAGTCTGCATATCTATCCTTATGAGATTAAGAAAATAATGGAGTCAAAAGCAGTTTTGAAGTTCAGTCATCCTATATATAACAGGATGCCAGTGCTTGTGCATGCTTTACTATAATAAAACTGTGTTTGGAATTAAATTGTAATGTATTAATGAAAACACTGCATGTAAAAAAATGTCCATGTAAATTCCAACAGTCTGTACCAAATGCCAGTTAACCATGGGGTTTTTTTACAAATATACTACATGAATGTCTATCTTTTGTTTATTTGTTTCTTTGGTCAGATTTCCATGTAGAAGAGGCTGTGGAGTGGCCTGGGTTAGACCTCAAACTAGGCCAAGTTTCTGGGTTGGCTCTGGATGCTGAAAATAACCTAGTTATCTTCCACAGAGGTGATCATGTCTGGGATGAAAAGTAAGTAGATATTCTGCTCAGTGACATGTTAGAAGGTCAGACTGGTGTGTGCTGTTTGTATACCTTCTCAAGAAACAAAAATACAGATTGAAGTTCCTTTTCTATTTAAAATTCAGTTCTTCAGCTGAAAGTGCCTTTGGGAGGCTTAGAATGGGAGTGGTGACTGTCAGTTCAAGATGATGGGGTTGCTGGGTCATTAATATGGTAAGAATGTGTCTAGAGAAAAAGAACGTAGTACATTAGATCCTTAAACTGTATGACCATGTTAGTATATTTACTCAGATTAATTATCCGCATTTCTCCATGTCTTTTAGCAGGACTAATTAGCCTGGGAGAATGACATTTTACTGTGGAATACTACTGTTAGCACCTGGGTTTAAGACATGCAAAGCAGCTCCAGTGTATCTTCATTCTTTCTTGTGTTTATGTCCACTGAACAAAATTGGATTGTTACAGGGCACTCTCTCAAAACATGATTTCTTCTACTTTTTTCATAAAATTTACTGCATTTAGTGTCACTCGAAACAACAAAAAAGTCCAAACTTTATAATGGACATCTTTCTAGGGTTTGTAAAGTAATATGCTCAAAGATACGTTCTTTTAAGAACAGAACATTCCAAATAAAGTACCATGTTTCCTTTTGTACAACATCCTTATGTCTCTGAGCTTTAAAATTGTATGTCTGACTGTTTAGATGGACAATTTGGAAAAAAATCCATGAAGTTGTAGCACAATACAAGGAGGAAATAGTATTAGGCTATAATAGAATAGTACGTAGTACCCTTTTTAAGTGCACTTTTAAAATCTTCTAAGTGTCTGTTCTCCATGTATATAAGGTTAAACAGGAGGATTTTTTTCAACTCCCAATTAATTCATTTTCAGATAATATAGTTTCTGAAAATTAGAGGGGCAGCTTTCTCAACCTTACAGTGAGAAATTATGCTTAGAATACTGCTTTATGAAGGAAAGTAGGTTCTTTGGGATCTTTAGCTAAATAACATAATGCAGAGATCAGGCAATCATTTATGTCTCATGCATTATATCAGTGATCTCCAGCTGAAGTGCATATAAATATGGACTATAAAATTTGAAAGAGTGATGCTTGCTGCAACTTGTATTACTCAAGCTTCAAGTAAAAGCTGATACTGGGTTTTGTTTTCTCGTCCTCCTACGCATGAACATAAGTGCAGTTCTTTGTGTCACTGAAGAAAGAATTAAAAACAGATTTGAAAATAGGCTAGCAGTTATTTTCATTTCTTACTTCTAAGATGCAGTATTTTCTAGTGCCTGGCAACTGAGATAAACTCACAACACAAAACTGGAGTTTGAGACCAAGCAGTACAGATTTTAAACAAAGCAAAGTGAAAAAATGTTCCCTAAAATAGCAAGTGAGCATAATGAATCAATCATGTTGAGACAGATTGAACTTCAGTTTTCTTATGGTGTGGTCCAGAATATCAGAGCAGTGGACTGGAGTGTGGAAATTCATATACCTACCAACTGTGCTGGGTAATGCTATAGGTTCACTTAATTCAGCCCTGTCTTTGACAGCAGCCGTTGTTCATATTCTGTGTATTTCTAGCCTGTGATTATCAGACTTCCCAGAAAAATGCTTTGTGTTATTTTTAGTATTAGTAGTGTTAATCTGTACATCAGTCTTGTGTTGGAGCTTTCCATATTTGCCATCATGTGGAGACTGAAGTTGGAACAAAGTGAAACTGCCTGGCCTTGTAAATATGATCAAAGGCATTCAGTCCCAGATACGTAACCAAGATGTAAGATGAGCTGCTGTTAACTGAAGCTGGTTATATGTTTTCTGTAAAGATAAGTACACATGAAATCCTAATTAATTTCAGAGGGGTTTTGTTCACAAGTTTGGTTTTTTTATTCTTCTTGTGGAGCCCTGTTAATCAATATTTAGGAAGGTAAGGAACCCTTAAACCAGATAAGCTAAAACTTCTGTAGACCTATTTATATATAGTACATATGCATATAATATATACACAATATATAGTTTTGTGACTTTAAAACAGTATATTTGGAAAATGTGCCTGTGGTTAAGCAGTTATTTCATGTATTGTGGCACAGAGAAGTTTTTTGCTGATTAGGGATACCAATTAAACTCAGACACCAGAGTGAAAAGAGCAGGTGTATTTTTCTAAAAATAACTAAATATTACAGAGTAATACAGAAAACATACAGTTAGAAAAGACAGAACAGGGCACTTAAACAAATAGGAAAATACAGGGTAATGCATCAGATCATTACTACCTGAGAGAGAGAAAATAGTGATTAAGAAAAGATCCATCACCACTTGCATACATTACCATCACCCAGATCCGTGGTCGCTGGGCAGCCCCGGTTACAGCGAGGATTTGCAGAGCCTGTACCGGCAAGTGGGAAATCCTACGCGGTGCGTTCCACCCATAGGTGAGGCTTCCAAAGTCGCTGTGAGCGGGCCCAGCCTTATATACTCAAAAAATCAGCAAGCCAGAATAGCTGGCAACTTTGTTTTGAGCGGAAATATCTGGTATCGGTCTCACATTAGGTTCCCCCCAGAGCCTGGCCAGGGGTCGAGGAAGAAGCTAAGGGAGTTTCTCTGCTTATCTGATGGGATTATGTGCAAGGTCTTACATCAGGTCTCAGGGACAGACACCTGCCTCAATGACTCTGTTGTTGTAATCACATACAAAGGAAGGGAAAGGTACTTTCAAGATAGCTACATCCTCCATGCATATTTCATTAAGGATTACATACTGAGTTAACAGTTTTGGTTCAGAGCCTGCTGCTCAGGCTAAAACGCCTCCCACCTTTTACATCAGGATAGGTTGTTTGTTATAACTTAGTATCGTACCTATTAGCACAATGGTTATCAGTTATAAAATATACAGGATTCATCTGTAGGTCAATGGGCCTATTGTCCAAGCCTTGTGCTTCAAGAAGAGGCACACAGACATGTGCTCAGCCAGTCAACCTTCCCTTTTTATCTTCAGGTAAATCATAGGCACATAAAATAGTCTGGGCTCCCTTTCAGGGGTTATGCTGAAAATAAAGGAGCATATTTGTTCTCATTTGTCAATAAAAAGGAATAATAATAATTAAAAAAGAGAATTTGAAAGGGGTTTATCATGACTGTTGTATCGGGAGGAATAAGAAGTAACCAGATTTTTAAGTTAATGTTTATCATTAGCAGTAAATACACAGTTAATTTAGTTCTTACCAATTCATATACGTGATGAAGCCTGAAATCCTAGATTTTATTTTCTTTGTTTCAATACTTCACCAGTGTAGTGTAGAAACAAAATAAACAAGAATTATCTGTGCTGTTAGGCAATGCACAAATGTTTCAAATACATTAATATGTGCCATAAAAGCTGGATTCTCATTCAGTTGACTAGAGCTAGGTGAATGGTCTGTGCTCTTTTATAAGGCAACTTCAGTCTGCTTTAAAACAGAAAAGCAGTTATGCAATGACAAGCTCTGTAATACAGTAGCAGCTTTTCAGTGTCTGTAGCATTCTTTCTATTCATGATTTTTTTTTTTTTTTAAAAAATCCTTTTAAATAAATCAGGCTCTTTTACCACATCATCTTCTCAGTTTCAGAACAGTCTTTGCTCTTTGCAGCGTGTGCTGTTGAGAAGAAAATATGTGGCTCAGCAGAAGGACATTAGAGTTAGCAATAAATTGTTTGTATTAGTATGAAGTGGCCAGCTGTAAAGAAGAAAAATAGCTATGGAATTACATTGGAGTTTTAGTAGTGACATATGGAGCATATTTTATTGGTCTTTTGATATCAAACTGCAGAACCTATTGGAAAACCAAGCTGCAGAGCAATGTGACATTTAATCATAAGGTGTTCAGTTATTTTGGTTGGTTGGTTTTGGTCTTGCTTCTTTTAAGCTAGCAGTAGACAGCATTATTTTTGTCCTCATTTATCAGTTGAAACAAAGGAACATTGACTACCTGGGATATTGGTCTCAAACACCAGGAAGAAGAATGACTGTGCTTCTATAGCATGCCAGTCCTCCTCCTAGAGAAGGAAATTTGACAGGGAGAAGATGCATGGAAGATCACTCCCATAAACTAATTTCAAAGTTCAGTAGGCTTCCTTTGCATAAAACACTATACAATCTCTTATTTACACTGAAAGCACTCAGTTCTGAGAAGAGCTGGGTAGTTGTTAGCAGAGAATACTTAGAAGTCTCAATAGCACTGTTACTGAGAATGAAAATCATAATAAGGAAAGCAAATAATTTTTTTAAGTTGTCTAGATGGTCAGTTCTCCAGAAGTAGAGTCTTGTTTTCTGATGGGTTTTTTTGCACAATACCTACTGTCACTAAGATTATTTTCTGTGATTAGCTGTGCTGATTATTAAGAACATTAATAATATTAGTTCAGTCCGTCCAGTGTTAGTTCTCCAGTTGTGGTCATCTATACCTAGAGCAAGTCCCTGTGAGTATTAGACTTCCCTTTAAATAAAACTGTTTAAAACCAAGAGAACTTGTTATGGAAGATTACTGTCAGTAATGGTAAAGAATAAAACAACATCTACTGAACCATGGTCAAACAAGCAGATACACATCAGTAGGCCATTGTGTGCCATAGGTACATGTTTACCCTATGTCTAGATACATAGGTACATACCTGTGTGCCACAGGTACTATTTACCCTATGTCTCCCTGTAGTATCATGGCAGTGTTTAGGAAGGCTCAGTAGAGTGTTTTAGTAACTATCACCTTGTGTTTAACCATTTCTACTGAGAAGGATTTACTGACTTCTGTCAGAAACAAAATAAATAGTCACAGATAGTTACCATATGTAATGGCAATATCTACATATTATTTTTTAGTCATAGCCTATGCAGAAACTTAAACACATTCGTCATAGATTTTTCTAGTTATATTTGAAGCCAGTATTGCTTTTCACATTGAAAATTCCATACATATAAATATTTAATGTTATGGGAGGTGAGGCTACTATGACTGTACAGTATGAAGTTTTAATACCTTTATTCATTGCCTTCGCTGTGACTACAAAGTATATTCTTGTTTACCAAGTTGCATCAATCATAGCTGGATTTTTCTTGGGATTAATAAATGGATTTAAACAAGGTGCGACACAGGAGTATGTCTTGTATTCACGCATTTTTCATCCACAGTCAAATACTATCTTGTAACATTTAGACTTAAATATTGTTTAAAATATTTACTTTCTATGTACCTTAATTGAATACTGAACGTGTATTTCAACAGGTTAGAGTAATAGCCAACTTCTCCATAGGGCTACAGACAACTATTTTTTTTATTCTTTGCTAATCATGTGATAATTTTATGCTTAATAAATCTCTTCTGGAAAGTTAATCCTAGTTCTTAATGTCTGAATTAGTGACATGTTTAAATGTTGTTGATTAATATATTCCATGTACCCTAAGAATTGAGAACAGAGTTGTGGGTGTAGGAGAAATACTCATCAATATCCTATAGCCTTCTGCAAGCACACTCTAAAAAGGATAAGAACCTTAAAACCTGAATCTTACCATAGTAAGCTCTAGCAAAATATTGAATTGTGTTTTAAAACAGACGATGCAAAAGATATACAAAAAAAATACACACTGCTTTACACAGTATGAAGTATACCTGTTTTTACTGGCAATTATGCCCTGGTGATTAGCTGTATTATGCACTTAGACTTCATAGTTTGATTTCCCATTTCTGATTTGCCACAACAAATAAAATTTTTTTTAAAAGAGGGTTTTTTACTTGCTTGCTTTAGGATTATCTTAACTGTTGCAATGTTGATTTGGTGCTCCCTGAGTTTGGGAGTCATAACCTCAATAGGAAATTCAGACATCCAATACTATAAATCTTACATCGTACAGTAGAGTAATAAGTTTTATTTAAAGAAATAAAGAAGCCAATAACCCCACATGGGAAATAAACTACAAAACTTGGCTTTAATTGCATGTGTATTGTTCCTCAGTGGAATTTTCTAATGCTGGTTTTCTATTATACTATTTTTGTGTAGTTCTTTTGACAGCAAGTTTGTTTATCAGCAAAGAGGACTTGGACCAATTGAACAGAACACAATTCTTGTCCTGAATCCAAGTAATGCAAAACTGCTTCATTCCATGGGCAAAAGTCTGTAAGTTATTTTTGCTCTTACTAATAGACTAACATTTCTGTATATTTTACTCCAGATATTCCTCAAACCCATTTTCACAGGTGTTTTATATTACATTGTGTGATTTTAGCCTCTTTATTTAAATTAATATATAATTAATAATTGCAAAATCAACAACTACTAAAAGTAATTTACCATCTTTACCACCTATGCTTTCTAGCAATTCATATAGTTTCATCAGCCAGATTAACAGAAATGCAGAGCTTGTGAGTATTGTGCATTGTCCTTAAGGATACTAAATATTAGACTGACTGAGATACCAGACGTCAATTGAATTTCAGAGCTGAAACACTCCTGTTAAGAAAATTCTAGTCTGTAAAGCTATCTCTTTCATTAAATACTATGGGTAGTTAGTATGTACAGCATTTGTGATCCATAGGTAAAAAGTGAAATCTTCATATTTACATTACTCTTCCTGAAAGATGTTTTTAACTTGATTCTTCTACGTTTGTGCTTGCAGATTTTATTTACCACATGGTTTGAGTGTAGATAAAAATAACTACTGGGTCACTGATGTAGCTCTCCATCAGGTATGTTTTTGAAGCTTTAATACCAGGACCTTAATATTTGCCAAAAAATGTTGGTTTTTTTACCTAGAGATTTGATATAAATTATTTATCTGGGCCTGTTAAGATAAACGTTAAGAATATGCCTACAGAAATTGACTCCTGTGGCCTTCCTGGAATATGGTTGTGTTGAATAATTTCCTACATGGACATAGTATTCAGAAATAATGCTACCTGGTTTTAAACAGTGATTATTTTGAAAAAGAACAGATTTTTCTGCTACATCTTTGCTTGTAGATTCTCCTATGTACTTAAATCTATAATGTGAAATGAATTTGTTTGCTGTAATAACAGGAAAGTTTATTTTAGGCACAAATTTCCTAGAATTAACACTACTGAAAAACGGAATAGATGTCATTGTCAATGTATTAAGATTGTGTTTAGCATATAAATTTATTTCATACACAGTAATAGATACTCTTCCATAGGCAGTTATCCCTCTTATATTTCACCTACCATAACTGAAACCTCTTTTTTCCCATTGGTTAAAAAAAGGTTTTCAAACTAGGAGCATATGCCAAAGAACCATTACTTACGTTAGGAGTCGCTTTGCAACCAGGCAGTGACAAAAATCATTTTTGTCAACCAACTGATGTGGCTGTGGATCCAATCACTGGCAGCATTTATGTCTCCGATGGCTACTGTAACAGTCGAATCATCCAGTTCTCTTCAAAAGGATTGTACGTGATGCAGTGGGGAGAAGGTACAGGTCAGAGCTCTTGGTACTTTACCCATACTGCTGTTATCATGAACTCATCATGAACCATGAGATTGCTGATGTTGCCATTACTTTTATTTATAAATTTCTATTACTGAAATACCTTACAGGTTTTATGAATAATTACATTTTTGCCTGACTCAGACTTATGTATCAGGCATTAAAACTATGCCAGATATTATGGGGAAATTGTGAATTCAAAAGTTCAGGGTTTACAAAGACAACACAAAAGACCACAGTAGGTAAACTACAGTTTACCTACCTAAATGAGTAAAACTGCTAGGAGAAGAAAGCAAGCTGACTTTATTATTTTCCCAGTATCATATTGTGTTAAGTGACATACTACTGTTTAAAAGCAAAACTGATAGTTTCAGTGTGTACTTTAACACAAACTTGGATATTTTGTATTGCAGAGACTTCTTTAGGCAGAGCCAGACCTGGACAGTTTCATATCCCTCACAGCTTAGCCCTGATCCCTGACTTCAGTCAGCTATGTGTTGCAGACAGGGAAAATGGTCGAATTCAGTGCTTCATGTTAGAGACTGGGGAGTTCATAAGAGAAATCAAACACAAATCATTTGGAAGAGAGTTGTTTGCGGTTTCATATGTGCCAGGTAATAATCTTTTCCTGTTTTTCGGATTTCAAGTAGTTGCTTTATGCCAGTATGTCACAGTACACGGTGTTATTTTATGAAGAGTGCTGTCACATTTGCTTAGGCCAGATATTTATTCTCTTTCAAAGTAGAGCTGATGTAATGGAAAATTTTGGAACTATCCTGTTTTCCTAGTTGCAGGATAAAGGGAAGCTTGCGTAAAATCTCTGCTTCTGAGAATGATTGATTAGACTCCCTAAATGTGATGTCAACAAGTAGATGATCTTGTGTGCTTCCTAGTGACTGCACAGTCAATAGTTAGTTAATAATATTTTAAAATATTCTTTTCAAGCTCCATTGAAGATAGAAAAATAAAGTGGTTCCAAATTATCAAGAAAAGTGTTGGGTTTCGTAAAACAAAAAAATCTGAAAGCAAAAAGTTTGAAAAAGTTGTGGGTTTTAATATCACAATCTGGTTAACAATAACTGTATTAAATTTTTGGGTTACATTTTTATTACTGATCCTGAAGGTAATGTAAATGTCAAGAACTGGATAAGGAATTTTGTCATCTCAGGCTCCTGACTCTGTAGTTGATATCAAATTTAATAGCAAGGTTCTTTCTCTTGCATCTGCCAATAAATGCTGAACAGGATGAGATAATTGACAACTATAGCTCTGTCTCTAACAATGTCAGCAACAGAGGCATTCTAAGGAGAATATGTAAGCCTGGATGCATTCTGTGGTCCATTCCTCTTCTACTCCTCATGCATTCACAAGCACTTTATTTAAGGGTGTTAGGAGGTAGTTCCTGACCTCTTTTTTGAAGTATCTTTCTGTAGATTTATTGCCCATGAGTTTTCCTAATCCCATTTTGAACTGGCTTGTACTGTCTGCCTCCTTGACTTCCTGCAGCTACAGGCTTCAGAAGGTCAATACCCACTTTATTTTTTTAATTTAAAAAAGCGACCCAGTTTCATTGAGTGCTTCTCAGTCCCAGTATTATGGGAGTTGGTGGATAACAGCTCCACACTCCCCATACCTTCTGCCTCTTAGCTTTCTGCTCTCCAAACTTAAGAACCCCAGCCACCTTAGTGTCTCCTAATAAACCATTTAATTGCTTCAGCCTACTGTAGTTGCCTTTCTCTTCTAGCATCTTTAATTTCATTAGGACCTTCTTGAGATGCAGAGAGTAAAACATCACTCAGTACTCAAGATGTGGGCTTGCTAAGTTTTTGCATAGGGGCAGAACTGTTCCTGTCACTGCACATGGAACTAAAGATTTCAGAGACCTTTCAGTGTTGGCTTGGAGATGTCTTTCTTGAGTTGTAGCTGTCAGTTCCAAGCCAAATCGTGTTTTATCACTCATCATGTAGGCATGACCTAGATTTATTTTTTTCTTGTAGAAACACCACTCTACATTAATATTTGCTGAAGCTCTTCTGCCATCAGTTTGACAGCTCATCTTATAAAAAGTCTTTTGAGACTTTTTCAATATCACCAAGCTTTTGACTACTCTGCAGAACTCAGTATTTTCCTCGAACTGGGAGATGTCATTGGTCACCCCATTTTTCAGGTCACTGATGAAGACTATTGAATGGAATTATTACTGTCTCTGATCCCTGCAGGATCACACTACTCAGACTTCTTTATCCTGAAAAATTATAAGCTCTGCCCTTAAGCTCTGCTCTTTGCTTCCTGTTTATTAATGGATCTTTCATTCAGACCTGTGACAACTCACATTCTTTAATAACCTCTGATGCACAACCTTGTCAGAGGTTTTCTGAAAATCCAAGTATATCTATAGAATCTCCTTTACCTATGTGCTTTTTCTCCACATTCAGAAGTGAGGCATAACTTCCCCTTAGAGAAGCCATACCAACTTGTTTCATACAGGCCACACTTACCCATGCCTTATTCTTCATTACGGATTCTAAATCTAATGTTGTTGCAGGTGGTCTCCTCTTTGCAGTTAATGGAATGCCTTATCCTGGAGAAGCAGAACCCATTCAAGGATTTGTGATGAACTTCTCTACTGGAGAAATAATTGATACTTTCATTCCACTTAGAAAGGTAGCGTATTGCACAGAGTTCCTGGTGCATATAATTCTATATGTGAAAATGCTGGTGACATCCTACTTGTCCAACTTTCATCAGACTACTGCAGAAAATAAGATGCTTTATAATGTAAGGTTATTAAAAATGAGTTCTTTATACTATTAACTTAATAAAGACATTAGAACTTGAGGTCTTAGCTTCTACATGTGGTACACATTCAAAAATTATACTACCCTCAAGATGATTCCTAAAGATAATACCTTCAGTCACGATAAGCCTATTTTGTTACTGTCAGACAGTTCTCTAAAAGTTAATTTAAGAGAAGTATGAATGCCTTGAAATATTAATATATTTAGATGCTAATATTTTTTTAAAAATAGAGTATGTTCCTAAGCAGAAATAATATTCAACTGTATGGTTACATTCCTTCTTTACATAAGATTTACTGTAGATCTTAAAGCTAAATGTGGTTCGTACAGTGTTGTACATAACAATAATGTAATGTTTTTTAAAAAAGTTTCCACAGATTGTCTTAGACTAAAAAATTAATGTTTAAATTCCCATTTCTGTTAACACTTATAGTCTGTTTTTTGCATTCCAATTTTAAATTAAATTAGAGTTAATTTTTTCTGAGTATTGCAAATAGCTGTGTTTCGTACAAACTCTGACAAGAACTAAATATGTGGGCTTTATACAAAGATCCATAATTTTTTAAATATATATTCCACAAGATAAATATAAATGCGAGAATATGAATGTAAATATTTTTCCTGGTATTGACCACGATAGAGTTACCTTTCCCTGGGTTGAGAGGAAGCACAGCTAGAGGGCTGATTCTGATTGATCAATCATTGGCGTATTTTGTAACATGTGATGTCATGCCCAGGGTATACAGGCAGGTGCGGGCTCTCTGTGGTGTACCCTGGCTTTTGGAAGGTGTTTGGTCACATATTGCTGTGGGGGCGGTTGCTGTGCTCCGTAAGCCACTGCTGCACTTTACCCATTTCCTTTTGGACTCACTATTGTAACTGCTGTTCTCTTGTATATATTTAGTAAATTCTTTCTTTTTATTTAACCTACAAATTTTCTTCTTTTTGTCCCACCCCTGTTTCACCCAGGAGGAGGGGGGAGGTGAAGAGCCGGCCACCTGGTGTCTGGCTGGCAGCTGAGGTCAAAACTCAGCAGTTTCTGACACCCAACCTTCGGCAATGCGGGTATTTTTTAAATAACAAAAGGGGTAAAATGTTGATTGCTTGGCTCCGTAAAAATTTTATCACTTGCCAAATGTATTCCCCATGCTGTTGCTCACCTTCCCTGAGAGTTGGGTTAAGGTTTTGTTTCTGTTGTACTATGTGAGGCTCTTTGATGATAGCATGCAGTCATCGGTCCTGGGGCTATTTACAGTTGTGTTTGAAAAATCCAGGAATTTCAAATATCCTTGGAATGTTGACAGTAACATGATAACATCTTACTGCTAGGAGCTAGTGTGTTCCTGCATGTGTTTCAGGTTTTGTTCAGCGTTAAGCAACTATTTAAGAGTATCACTTGGAAACCTACCCCATGGTTGGAGAATTATGAGTGGCTGGGGGTGTGGAGTAGCATGGGCAAGTACCTAGAACAGTGGGCACCTCTGGTGTTTTGGAACTTCACTCCTGCACGGGTGCAGAATCCTGAGGAACTAGTGGAATATTTGGAAAAAGTATGTTGTCACCCAGAGGTGTGCCTTCCAGAGGCACGGATCACTGCAACATGCTGGGGCCTAGCCCACACTTACCGAGTGCTATTAAACACTGTTCAGCACCCTCAAGAGGAAGAGAGTCTGGTAACAAAGCAACAGAAACTGCAGCCACCACAAGCCCAAGGACAGGCACTGCAGCTGAACCAGAGAACCAACACATGACCATGTCAGTTGCTCCCATGCAGAAAAAAAAATACACAAGAAAATCTCCTTGCAGTGTACAGGGTGATGATGAATGAGGCCCATCACGAGAACAGGAGTAGAAGGCAGAGCCAGTGATAGTCACCCAATCCTTACCCCTGAGTGAGTTATGAGACATGCAAAAAGATTTCAGCCACCATCCAGGTGAGCAACTTGTTACCTGGCTGCTGCGGTGCTGGGATAGCAGGGTCAGTAGCATGGAACTAGAGGGTAGGAAGTCCAGACAGCTGGGATCCCTGTCTAGGGAACGGGGCATTGACAACACCACTGGAAAGGAGACACAAAATCTCAGTCTCTGGAGGTGATTTCTGTCAGGTGTGAGGGAGAGTTATCCTGCAAGGAAGATTTTTGTATGTCATCCAAGTAAGTGGACCACTATGGATTCAATACTTGAGGGAGCTAGCTGTGAAGGAGACAGTTTACTATGACCCAGATAACACACAGCTGCCCACAAATCCAGATGAAGTCCAGTGCACCCAGCCCATGTGGAAGGTTTGTACTGAGCACTCCCTCATCATATGCCAGTGCATTAGCAGTAATGGACTGGGGAGACAAAGAGGGACCAACAGTAGAAGAACTGGCTCACCAACTATGACAGTATGAAGAAAGTCGCTCTTCCCCCCTCCTCACAGCTGTGGAGAAATTACCTCAAGATTTCCAGCAGTTTGAAGAGGCTATGTCCTACTGCCCACCTGCATGGACTAGAATCTCAGCTATTAGGAGCAGTCATTTCTCTACTCAAGAGAACACACCGTGGCACACACCATAGGGGAAGCTGTGGTATTGCCTGCATGACCATGGAGAAGACAGGAAGAAGTGGGATGGAAAACCTACCTCCCTCCTAGAAGAGTGGGTATTTGAGCTGGAAGGAAGAACAAGTACAGAACACGGTTCCCTTCAGGAGAAATGCTGTTCCGGTTTCCAGTGATCAAGTGCACAAAAAGAGCAGAAATGTCAACTTTGCTCATGATCCTAGGAGAAGAACTTCCGACTTGTACTCACAAGAAGTGAATGATCAAGATGAGGCTGAAACCCGTGCACACCACACTAACCCATTTGTCCTTAGCGAGTATTATTACCAACATCAGAGGGGCCCTGCCTCCAGCCAGGCGGAGGACAGGGACAACTGAGTTCACTGGACTGTGTGGATTCGATGGCCTGGCACATCTGACCCCCAGCAGTACAAGGCTCTAGTGTACACTGGTGCTCAATGCATCCTAATGCCATCAGATTTTAAAGGAGCAGAACCTGTTTATATCTCAGGAGTGACAGGGGTGTCTCAACAGCTGACTGTATTGGAGGCCGAGGTGAGCCTAAATGGAAAAGAGTGGGAAAAACACCCCACTGTGACTGGCCCAGACTCTCCATGCATTCTTGGTATAGACTGTCTCAGGAGAGGGTATTTTAAGGACCCAAAAGTGTATTGGTGGGCTTTTGGTATAGCTGCCTTAGAAAGAAAAGGAATTAAACAGCTGTCTGTGTTGCCTGGTCTCTCAGAGGATCCTTCTGTTGTGGGATTGCTGAGGGTTGAAGAACAACAGGTGCTAATTGCCTCTATAACCGTGCACTGATGGCAATATCAGCCAATCAAGACTCTGTAATCCCTATCCATAAACTGATTTGTCAACTAGAGAGCCAAGGAGTCATCAGCAAGATGCGCTCCCCTTTTAACAGCCCCATATGGCCAGTGCAAAAGTCTGATGGAGAGTGGAGATTGACAGTGGACTGTTGTGGCCTAAATGAAGTCACACCACTGCTGAGTGCTGCCGTGCCAGACCTGTTGGAACTGCAATATGAACTAGAGGTGAAGGCAGCCAGGTGCTATGCCATGATTGATATTGCCAGTGCATTTTTCTCCATCCTTCTCTCTGGCAGCAGAATGCAGGCCACAGTTTGCTTTTACCTGGAGGGCTGTCCAATACACCTGGAATCAGCTCCCCCAAGGATGGAAACACAGGCCCCCCATTTGCCATGGACTGATCCATGCTGCACTGGAACAGGGGGAAGCCCCAGAACATTTACAGTACATTGATGACATCATCATATGGGGTAATACAGCAAGAGAAGTTTTTGAGAAAGGGGAGAAAATAATCCAAATCCTTCTGAGAGGTGGTTTTGCCATAAAGCATAGTAAAGTCAAAGGACCTGCACAGGCGATTCAGTTTTTAGGAGTAAAATGGCAAGATAGACATCGTCAGAGTCCAATGGGCGTGATTAATAAAATCACAGCTATGTCTCCACCAACTAACAAAAAGGAAACACAAGCTTTCCTGGGTGTTGTGGGTTTCTGGAAACTGCAAATTCCAAATACAGTCAGATTGTCAGCCCTCTCCATTAGGTGACCCAGAAAAAGAATGATTTTATAGGAGGCCCAGAGCAACAACAATGTGTTCTATACTGCAGCCGGGAAGAACGGCCCTACCTGGAGTCTCTGGCAGAGAGCACCAGGAGAGACTCGGGGTCGACTCCTGGGGTTTTGGAGTTGGGGATACGGAGGATTCAGAAGACCGCTAGGCTCCAACTGAAAAGGAGATCCTGGCAGCATATGAAGGGGTCCGAGCTGCTTCAGAGGTGATTGGTACTGAAACAGAGCTCCTCCTGGCTCCCCAACTGCCAGTGCTGGGCTGGATGTTCAAAGGGAGTGTCCCCTCTACACACCATGCAACTGATGCCATGTGGAGCAAATGGGTTGCATTAATCACACAACGGGCTCAAATAGGGAGCCCTAGCTGTCCAGGAATACTGGAAGTGATTACAAACTGGCCATAAGGCAAAGATTGTGGAATGGTGCCAGAGGAGGAGGTAGCATGTGCTGAAGAGGCCCCACCATATACTGAGCTACCGGATAATGAGAAGCAACATGCCCTGTTTGCTGACGGGTCCTGTTGCATTGCAGGAAAACAAAGATGGAAGGCAGCTCTATGGAACCACACACAACAAGTTTCTAAAGCTGCTGAAGGAGATCGAGTCAGTTCGCAGAGGTAAAAGCCATCCAGTTGGCCTTGGATATCTCTGCGTGAGAAAAGTGGCCGGTGCTCTACCTCTGTACTGACTCATGGATGGTGGCAAGGGTGCT